GCACTGTATGCTTCCCGGGAAGCTGAGAATGTTTCGGAGTGTTCTATGGTCTGCTGGGGTAATAATATAGTGTAAAGCGCATAGAGCCTGCAGTTGAGCGGGGATATGCGCTATACAAATGCTATTTATTATTATTATTATTAAATCGACAGTGGGACAGGACAGTCCTGTCCGAGACAAGAATGTCGTAGTGCGGTACCGACTAGCCTAAGTGAACACGCACAAACGGGACTGATTCAGAGATAAAAGAACAGGATAATAGTGTGTGTGCTCAGGCGTGTTCTGCGTGCTGGTGTGAGTACATTTTTCAGCTTTGCGAGTTAAAATCCCGATTTAAGGACGCTCTAAACGCTGGGAATTTACTCACTTCTGCATTCAAAACACGCATGAGCACGCATACAGTCTCGATAGTGCGCAAGACGCAAGATCAACTCACATTCAGTGACATTAACAATAACAATAATAACAAGAAAGGAAAAGGAAAGTACGTGACAGCTTGGAAAAGGTCGATGAAAAGCAAAGCAAACTATTGTAGAGACTTGACAGAACGTCGGGTTGTGAACTAAGAACAGACGAATATATGGTCGCTTTTAAGGACAAGGTGGCTATCCCGAAAAATGCTGTTTTGAGAAAATCGAAGGTAAAGGTTTTGCCCCTTGTTCAGTTTCTGTTAAAGACAAGGAGAATTTTCTCTATAAATAACCAAACAAAATAATATACACACCAAAGAAACCAAACTTCTCCTATAGGAAGGGCAATGCCCGCTTTTGGTGTAGGTCAAGATTTCTGGAAACGCCCGAAATCTGGGTTAGCCCGCTTGTCCCGACTTAAAAGCGACCATATAAATCACGGAAGGACTTCCGTAACGAGCGACCACCCCAACAAACACAATAAAGAAGAGACCTAATCTTAACCCTGACCCAACCCCTAACCCTACCCCAAACCCTCTATTCTACTCTGTTTCTTAGTGGTCGCTCGTTAAATTTTTTAGTAAAAGTTTTACGGCACTTGCAACACATTAAGGTCATATAAGTGCCGACGATTAGAGGCGTGTTACAAGAGAGTAACAAACATAAAAAAGAAGGAGGCGAGATCAGGACGATAGATGTTTGATATGAAAGAAGGAGCTAGTTACGGAATTCCTCCCTAAATCACAAATGAAAGACTCGAAATTCTCAAAGTATTGTCTAACGGACACCGACGCGACCGCCCCCGTTCTTTGGGAAAACGAAATGACAACAATTGGAAGCAGAAGCAGAAAGAAATGACTCGTGAGGTCACGCATGCGCAAAGCAAAATATTTTTAATGCCCCCCTCTAGCCTAGACTGGGTGTCTCCGTGGACCAGGATCCTGGTCTCGGGAGACACTTCCAATAATATAATATTAATATTAAAAATGTAGAGACCCTCGGGGCAGTGCCACTGACTGTAGTGTCTTTAGGCCATTCCCAAAGGGGGGACATTTCTCGTTCAAGCACAGTAGAATTGTAAATGGGCTGATTCATCATGTCACGCTCATAATCACAACTGTGCCTGATCTGCACCAGGGAACTGCTGCTTTTTCTTTCCTAATCCTTACTACTGTCATTTTCCTCTACGTCTTTTGTGTGACCCATTATTTCCGGGGAGCCTTGATAGTCGAAGCAGACTTTGTGCTGTTGAAGCTAGAGAGGTGAGCAGAGTAAGTCTGATTCCCTGTAAATACTTCTCTGTTGACACCCACCTCTTGGCGCTCATATGACCTTATGCAGTTGCGAGCGCCGTAAACTAAAACCCTCTACTAAAAAAAAAAAAAAAAAATTATGTATAGAGAAGACAAAACGAATCGCTATCGAAGGGACGTAACCAAAAATATTTATGCATGCATAGTTAATTCCCTTTCCCTTCTTTCTGCACCTTTTTACAACATCTCAGAAGAAAGACCGAAATACTCGATAACAATAATTATTCTCCTTACTGGGGTCTCCTGTGTGCGATTTTGTGTGTGTGAAAGTGTTTTACGGCACTCGCAACTGCCTAAGGACATATGAGCGCGCAGGACACACTAAACCTTTTCAGTTGGAAGAAACTTTGGAATTTTACCCGGGCGGCGGCCGAAGCCTACTCAAATCGATTTTGGACCACCAAGGAATATTTAACGTGCACAACTTGCACTCGGGACCTCCGAGATTTTTTCGCCCTTGTCCGAGAAGGCAACGTGTAGCTGAAAGACAGCAGTAGGGAGCCAAGGAGAAGCAGTGAAAAGGCTGCAGAAAGAGTCAGGAGCCCAGAGGAGGCGGAAAAGGGAATGGTCCAATAAATAAACTAACCAGTAATTTAACAAAATCTGGTCATTGGCGATTTGCACTTACAAGTTTTTATTTGGTCAATTTGTGTTGACAAAACATGAAACAGTAATCAACACTACTTCGACAAAATTCTTCAAACAATTCATTTTTCAAAACAATAATTGGACAAACATGTAATCAACCGTAACCAAACTGTATTTTTAGAAAGAAGGAATAAATTAAATATATATACAGTCTGGCACGTACATAGCGAACAGATTATCCGACCCTGAATATTTTAAACGATTTTTTTCCGTCCGTTTCAAATATATACATATTTTTACGCCCCCATCAACACAATTTATACCATTTTGGAGACAAGCTTCTAAGATTCGAACCAGGGCCAAGCATTCTGTAGGGGAAGCTTCCCCCGGGCCAGTAGAGCCGTTTGTTTTAGTTTTAGTAGAGGTTTTACAGCGCTCGTAATACGAGCGCCAAGGGGTGGATATCAACAGAGAAGTCTTCACAGATAGTATTTGTATAACGAATCAACAGCAGGCTCTATGCGCGTTACAATCTATACTATTACCCCAGCAGACCTGAGAGAATTCTGAAACAACCTCAACTTCCTGGGAAACATACAGTGCAGGCAGCCATTTATAGGAGTCAGTCTATTGTTACATCATAAATGGTTGTCAGCCCATCAGTCACATTCATGGGAGTCAGCCTATTGTAACATAAATGGAGTCAGCCTATTGTAACATAAATAGAGTGAGCCTATTGTAACATAAATGGAGTCAGCCTATTGTAACATAAATAGAGTGAGCCTATTGTAACATAAATGGAGCCAGCCTATTGTAACATAAATGGAGTCAGCATATTGAAACATAAATGGAGTCAGCCTATTGTAACATAAATGGAGCCAGCCTATTGTAACATAAATAGAGTGAGCCTATTGTAACAAATGGAGTCAGCCTATTGTAACATAAATGGTTGTCAGCCCATCAGTCACATTCATGGGAGTCAGCTTATCAGTCACATTCATGGGAGTCAGCTTATCAGTCACATTCATGGGAGTCAGCTTATCGGTCACATTCATGGGAGTCAGCCCATCAGTCACATAAATGGAGTCAACCTATAATCACAAAAATGGTAGTCAGCCCCTCAGTCACATAAATGTGAGTCAGCCCATCAGTCACATTCATGGGAGTCAGCCTATTATAACATAAATGTGAGTCAGCCCATCAGTCACATTCATGGGAGTCAGCCTATTGTCACATAAATGGAGTCAGCCCATCAGTTACATGAAAAGATTCAAGTCAGCTCGTATTACATGACTGGAGTCATCCATCCTGTGTCGCATGATTCTAGTCAGTCTGTATTATACAAATGGGAGTCAGCCCATCGCAACATGACTCTCGAGTCAGCTTGTCATA